CCGCTGGTCCATAAAGAGCACAGCGACGAGCTGGTGGAGCAGAGCACCTCAGTGTTGTCTTAGTGTCCCCAGGCTATAAAAACGGAAGTGGGATCGCTAAGGTCCTCTTACAGCTAACATGCAGATTCTCGAGAGCAGCTTAGTTTGAGTTTTCTTCTTTTCTCTCTTCTCAAATTTGCCAGAGTACACATGCACTTGCCAGACAAAGACCCCCAATGGGCTGTGTCAATGCCAACCCTTCCTCCTCCACTTCCGCACCCCTCAGGTTGTGAGCACGCACACCGATATACCGAGCAGGTTTTCAAACGGCTGGGGCCATGGGATCCAGCTCCCTTAATCACCAGGCCACAGGACCAGCCCTTATTTGAGACTTGAATAACCTTTTAAAGAAGAGGTCCATAATTACAACCCGGGGTCCATGAACTTGGCTATGAAAAATTACACTTTTGCTTTTAATAGAGGAATATCTGAAGTTCTACATTACCCACAATTTGAATTTTAGTAGTACCAGTGTATTTTTCAGCAGCAGAAAGCAGGTATTTTCGTATCACGTTGTAGATACTGCAGATACTCAGCACTTACAGAGACCTGCTTCTAGAATGTTTTTCTTTCTTTCTTTCGAGAGGTTTTGGCTATAAGCCATGTGCACTTGCTGGAGAGACAGAGACAGAAAGAGAGAAATCACTCCCGTGTGTGTGTGTGTGTGTGTGTGTGTGTGTGCGCGCAATCCCTTTTCCTCCCCTCCCGGGATCTTGGCCACACACGCACACATGCCCAGTGTGAGTTCCAAGCCACGGGGTCTGGGACTTGAACCACAGTTGATTATGTGGGAGTCCAGCAACGTAACCATGACGCCATCTGCTGGTCCCCTAGAATACATATTTAATGAATCAATAAAGAAACACGTTACTACATCAAAAATTTGACTCTTTAAATATTTTACTTAATTTTTTTAAAAGTGTAGTTGGGTTTTTGTAATCCTATAGTTTTATTGGTATATGCCAGAGAGGGCGTGTGCTTGTAGAGGGGCGGGGACAGGGGAGGGTAAAAGACTAGGAGGGGGCGAAAAAGCCTGTGTCATGGGGCTTGGTTACACCACAGTCCCTTCTCTTCCATCTCTCCCTCCTTTCAGGATTTTGAACATGTGTGCGCACACATGCACACACACGCACACGCACCTGATGTTTTCCAAGCTGTGCAGCTAGCTAAATGGGACCCGGCTGCTGTGACCACCAGACCATGGACTGGGCCCAATATAATACCATTACTTAATTATTTCACATGTTACTCTTAGAGCTGGTGCCGCTATAGGCAGTGTGCAGCAGGAGCCAGATCCCACACGCCTGACTGCGGTTTCAATCCCAGTCTCAGATCTCAAAAAACATGCCAGGTACATGTGTACCCGAAGTCCTGATGGGATGGAGAAATGGAAGAGAAGGAACTGTGGTGTGATGGGGTGCTCTGTCTCTCTTTGGAGAGCATATGTGCCCTCTGGCAACTGAAGTTAAAAAACATCAGGGGGCCAGCAGGTGGCATAGTGGTTAAGGTGCTGAACTCCCACATGGTCGACTGCAGTTTGAGCCCTGGACTCTGCAGCTTGAAACTCACGCCGGGCTCGTGTGCGTGTGTGCCCAAAGTCCTGAGAGGAGAGTGGAGAAGGGACTGCGGTGTGGCCAACCCCCAGGGGGGTGATTTTTTTCTCGCTCTTTTCAGCGAGCGCATGCTCCCTGTAGCAAAAAATCTCCCCCAAAACCAAAACCAAAACCAAACATTCTCATGTGGGGTTTACAGGCTGTATTACAGTGCCAAAGAACACATCCCACAGAGAGGCAAGACCCCTGCTTTAAAGGAAACCCGTTGCCTTCCCTTTTCTTGTCACAGCACACCGGGCTGCGTGTCTGCTGCAGGCCCGGGGCAGCAACTGCCAGCCCTGTCACCGTGGGCCACTAACTCCTTAACCTCCCTTGCCTCCATTCCTTCAGTGACATTAAGGACTTCAGTCAATTCTGCCCCAGTGTCCTCAAAGGTTTACATGATTCTGATCAGAATAAGGGGATTTCTTACAGAACATGACGCAACTCTGTAATCACGGCCTGGATTGGCTAAGGTGGACCTGGGGCAGGGCCAGCCCTGGCGTAGAGGTGGGGCGCACTGGAGCCGCAGGCCTGGTGAGAAGGCGCAGCTCGCACCTTGCCCCCGGACAGGCACCTGCTCGGGCTGCACCACCGTGATGGCTGGATGCCTCCGCCCGACCCCAGCATGGCTTATACCCACAGCCCCCTGCACTGGGCGGTCACCACTTCTGTGGTGGGGAACACAGAGTTTGTCTTAAAAATGGATCTTAAATGGGCATTTCTACTGACTGTACTTCCGGGAACTGACCCTAAGGGTCCTTTCAGGATTTTGAACATGTGTGCGCACACATGCACACACACGCACACGCACCTGATGTTTTCCAAGCTGTGCAGCTAGCTAAATGGGACCCGGCTGCTGTGACCACCAGACCATGGACTGGGCCCAATATAATACCATTACTTAATTATTTCACATGTTACTCTTAGAGCTGGTGCCGCTATAGGCAGTGTGCAGCAGGAGCCAGATCCCACACGCCTGACTGCGGTTTCAATCCCAGTCTCAGATCTCAAAAAACATGCCAGGTACATGTGTACCCGAAGTCCTGATGGGATGGAGAAATGGAAGAGAAGGAACTGTGGTGTGATGGGGTGCTCTGTCTCTCTTTGGAGAGCATATGTGCCCTCTGGCAACTGAAGTTAAAAAACATCAGGGGGCCAGCAGGTGGCATAGTGGTTAAGGTGCTGAACTCCCACATGGTCGACTGCAGTTTGAGCCCTGGACTCTGCAGCTTGAAACTCACGCCGGGCTCGTGTGCGTGTGTGCCCAAAGTCCTGAGAGGAGAGTGGAGAAGGGACTGCGGTGTGGCCAACCCCCAGGGGGGTGATTTTTTTCTCGCTCTTTTCAGCGAGCGCATGCTCCCTGTAGCAAAAAATCTCCCCCAAAACCAAAACCAAAACCAAACATTCTCATGTGGGGTTTACAGGCTGTATTACAGTGCCAAAGAACACATCCCACAGAGAGGCAAGACCCCTGCTTTAAAGGAAACCCGTTGCCTTCCCTTTTCTTGTCACAGCACACCGGGCTGCGTGTCTGCTGCAGGCCCGGGGCAGCAACTGCCAGCCCTGTCACCGTGGGCCACTAACTCCTTAACCTCCCTTGCCTCCATTCCTTCAGTGACATTAAGGACTTCAGTCAATTCTGCCCCAGTGTCCTCAAAGGTTTACATGATTCTGATCAGAATAAGGGGATTTCTTACAGAACATGACGCAACTCTGTAATCACGGCCTGGATTGGCTAAGGTGGACCTGGGGCAGGGCCAGCCCTGGCGTAGAGGTGGGGCGCACTGGAGCCGCAGGCCTGGTGAGAAGGCGCAGCTCGCACCTTGCCCCCGGACAGGCACCTGCTCGGGCTGCACCACCGTGATGGCTGGATGCCTCCGCCCGACCCCAGCATGGCTTATACCCACAGCCCCCTGCACTGGGCGGTCACCACTTCTGTGGTGGGGAACACAGAGTTTGTCTTAAAAATGGATCTTAAATGGGCATTTCTACTGACTGTACTTCCGGGAACTGACCCTAAGGGGCCGGGGTCGTGCCCCAGTGCGTCCCGCATACCGCTGTGCACTGCCCACCCACCAGCTGGATTACCTGACAATCACGTCTAAAGGAAGGTGGTTATAAAAGGAGCAACTGCTGTAGCACCACCCCCCCAAAGTCTACATACTCGAGAACAGAAGAAAATTACTAAATACATAATTTAAAAATTTTATTATCGTTTGTATTTATAACTATGCTGTGGGACTTCTGGGGGGAAGCCATTACACTAAGTGCAAGAACACCAACACCCCTAAAAACAAGGACCCTGAGGAAAACGGGGGTAGCCCATCACCTGCAGCAAGGCTCTCACACGCCATTAGGCCTCGACCCCCGCAGACAGGAGTCACAAGGATGAAGGCACTTGAGATACTGTCTTTAATGAAAAACACAAACTTCAACGATCTAAACACGGCATGGTTTCCCCAGAGACTGGGAAGCCCACCGTGTTTTGCCATTCTGTTAAGTTTCCTCTACAATTCTATATTCTCTCTCTCTCTTTTTTTTTAAGAGACTTTTTGCTATAGGGCACATGTGTTTGCCAGAGAGAAAGTGAGAAATCACCCTCCAGGGTAGCTGGCCATGCTGTAGTCCCCTCTCCTCTTATGCACGCACACACCTGACATGAGTTTCAAGCTTCCAAGGTCTGGGACTTGAACCGCAGTAGCCACGTGGGAGTCCAGCACCTTAACCACTGTGTCACCTGCTGGCCTCTATAATTCTATTCTATATAAAAATCAGCAAAGAAATAAAAACGTAGCTAAGAGCATGTTTATCAGGCCCAGGCTGCGGGCGTGATCAGTGGCAGACTGAGAAGCCACGTGGTGGACCGGGGTCTGGATGCTCCCAGTGGCTTGAAAACCCACCAAGAGAGTGTGCACACCTATCTCTGTGCCTTCTACTGCAAATTAAAAAAGAAAACGTAATTGAAAAAGAACACAAAATGTGCATCAAGTTAGGGACAAGACAAAGTTGGCAGCCACTGGTCCACATGGGGAAGCTTTTGCTGTTTCTAGGCATCACGGACATGGGAGGGCTGTTTCCTGGGCAGTGACCGGGCGAGGAGCCTAGAGGCCTGACTCGATGCCACCATGGCCAGTCACGTGAACAGAAGATACTCAAGTGGAAAATGTGGCAAAACCTACTTTAAAGGTGTGATGCGGTATGTGGCGAACACGGCAAAGAAAACACACACGAAGAAGAAAGCCCGACTGCGAGGCGGCCAAAGCAGGGCTGGAGTCCGTGGGCACAGGGGCTCGGTCCTGGATTCTCACAGGAGATAGGAGCCCCCTGACTGCGAGCTAGTTTTCCGGGCAGGGAGGGGTGACTCACGTGATGTCCCTCCGCTGGTAACAGCCCTGGAGCAGGCAGGCGATCAGGTCACTGATGAACCCCACGTCATCGCGATGGAGGGCCGCTTCCAGCTCCTGAGACAGAGGACAGAGATTGAGCGCTCCCAGATGCCTGCCCTCCTGGACCCACCCAGGGCTCCCCAAGCCGCGCCCTGTAGCCCACCCACTCCCTGCACCCCCACACTAAAGGACACGCCCTCTCCTATCCCGCCAGCTGCGACCACGCACTGGGTCCCGGGGACACCCCTGCTTCCTATTTAGCGGCCAGAGGGAGTCCAGGGTCGACAGCACGTCCAGCGAGCGTCCTTCGTCCCCTGCGCACCCAGCGCAGACGCAGATAAGCCACCGTGGCCGCACTGAACCAGACAGCACGGCAGGAGTGGCCCGCACCTCCACCACGGGGAGGAGACGGCTGGAACAGCGGCCCCGACATGGTCTGGACAGAAGGGAGGCGTCTACACCAATGGCCCGGTGTCCCTGGTGAGGCGCGGTGGCTTCCCCTGAGGTTCAGTGGCCAGCGCTCAGCCGGCCAGAACACGGGAACCAGCAGATGCTGTTTGTCTTCTGCACCTGACGAGGTGTCTCTGGAGGTGGCGGAACGTGTCCTGTCCCACGTCCTCACATGCCAGCACGCTGCCTCCCATGTGCACGACACCCCCCGGGTGGACCAGTACACCTCACACGCCCAGGTCCATGCAGGGTCTTCAAGGAGCGCACGGAAAATGTGTGTACGAAAACACTATGCACGGATTTAACTTTTTTATGTTCCAATATGAACTCACACTTTAATTCCGTTTCCCCCAAACTTACTTAGGTCTCCTCACCTAATCTACAGGAAATCCCAACTTGAGAACCCCGTTAACGGTTAACGATTCTGGAAGGGCGAGGTGGACTCAAGCTGTGGCCTCAGATGGCAACGTCGATGGTGATGCCCACTAAGACAGCCCTGGGCTTCCGGGACAAGAGCTCTTTTTATTTTTCTGAGAGGTGTTTGCTATAGGGCACGTGCATTCACCAGAAAGACAGAGAGAGACAGAGACAGAAACTGAGAAATCACCTCCCGGGAGGAGGCTACGCCGCAATCCCTTCTCCTCCATTCTCCTCTCAGGATCTTGGGCACGCACACACATGCTCCCGGTGTGAGTTTAAGCCACAGGGTCTGGGATTAGAACCGCGGTTGGCTATGGGAGTCCAGCGACATAGCCATTACGCTAACTGCTGGTCCCAGGAACGAGTTCTTTTGTAAACTATTTTGTTTCATTACTTTATTTTAAATTATTTATTTAATTGTATTTATTCATTTATCTACTTTAATTTTATCAGAGAGAGAGGGAGAAATGAGAAAGCAAGCCACCAGGTTCAGGAATCAAACTGTGGTCGGCCATGTGAGAGTGTCCAGTGCCTTAACCACCATGCCACCTGCTGAGCCCCTCATTATTTTATTTTAAAAATTCTTAAGTTTAAAACCAATCTAAAAATGTCACAGGACCAGAAAATGGATAAGCGTGATCAGTCGGTGTCAAGAAGGTCAAAGTGGCTGGATCACACGTGCCCACTACATGGTCCGAGTCTCCAACCCGGCAGCCTGAGAAACACACAGGCCACGTGTGTGTGCGTACACGCCCAGAGACGTGTGTGCGTACACGCCCAGAGAGTGAAGGGCTGGCGGGGTCCCACCCGATGGCGTCTCACTTTCTGCGTGTCTCTCTCCGGGGAGAGCATGCGCGCTGTAGCAAATGACAATAAAAGTGTGAGTACAGTCGCCAAGCACAGACACGAACAGACTACGGGCTGAGAGAGCTCAGGCGAAGAGGAGGGTGCCAGCCGGGAAGGCCAGGCAGGCGGAGCTCAGAGCTCAGCACCAAGACTCGCTCCTGCAGGCCTGTGTGTGCTTTACCGTGCACACCGGGGGCTGCCGAGAGCGTACGCGGTCCTGATGCGCTGAACTCCTGCGGTCAGAGCGCCTTTCCACAATGTAGTCAGTGCCCATCCGAAGATGGGAGGCCCGCCTCTGAGACAGTCCGAGCTGTAACTGTTGGCGTGATTCATTCAATGCCTATCTCCTGAGCAACCACCATGTATGGGGACCGGGGACCGGGGACTTCCTCAGCACGGGAGCTCGGGTAGCGAGGAGGTATCAGGGAGCACACAGTGAAAACATGCTCAGTGCCACCCGGGTAGGGGAGGTGCTGGGAGCACTGTGGGTGCTGAGGCCGCTGCTGCCCAGGGAAGCCTGGTGACAGGGTGGGGGTGGGTACCACCAGGTGCAGAGGCCCGGGGGCTATTCGGTTCTTGGGTTGGCGTAACCAGCAAAGGACACCTAACACCAAGCTCAGGGGTTTGGCCTTGCTTTCAGGACAGAGCGACAGCCGATTTCTGCGGCGGGGAGCATGGTGGAGCTGCTGGCTGAGGGGGATGTCAGGGGCCGGCAAGAGCCACTTCCTCCAGCCAGGAGGGAGGGAGGTCCTGACAAACTTAGTGACCCAGGGACAGAGGGGGAAATGGGGACTCCAGACCT